ATATATATATATCAGTATCTTCATATACATGCATGCACCTGTCCATCCTGTCATAATTTAAATATATGAATTCATGTACATGTACCTCATGTTACACATTTTCATGTGTCTGAGTGTTGGAAATAAAATCTGAAATCTGAAATCACAATTTACAGCTTAACCGGCTATCCGGAAGAATACATGCACCGTACTATCTGCTCCTAATTTTCTCCTATGAATTACTTCCCACCTGGAAATCCCTGAAAAAAAACGTTGGTCAGACAGGTAGAAATACCGATGATTATCTTAGATTTAATCATTTTTATGAATCTTTTTCAGCCAGATCTGATTGTTATTTTCCACTGGATATGTTTATGTAGTATTTGAAAAAAAGACACAAAAAAGTTACTTCACCGTGATGCGTCGGCAGCGTGTTTTTTTGCCAGCTCTTTTGAAAAGTTTCACTTACTCCTTGAAAATCAATATATTATTAGCACTAGCCGTAGAAATGCTTTGTCAGATAATTAAGGAGGATAACTAAATAGTTAGTTGTGGGTACTGACCACGTGCCGTTGATAGTTAGTTGCGGGTAATGACCACGTGCCGTTAATAGTTAGTTGTGGGTACTGACCACGTGCCGTTAATAGTTAGTTGTGGGTACTGATCACGTGCCTATTCATATTTATATATATACGTATAGATATACTTAGAAAAATATATCTAATATTCATATATATACGTCCCGATATACTTGTGACCATTAAAATGGATGAAGGTCATTCATTTGAACAAACTTTGTAGCCCTTGATTTCAACATGCTACTGCCCAAATACCATCATCCTAGGCCTTTTGGTTACTGAAAAGAAGTTGTTTAAAGTAAAAAGTTGGACGGACAACAGACATGTTCCTGTTATATATACGTCACGATAAATTTATTTGACCCCTGTGACCTTGAAAATGGATGAAGGTCATTCATTTGAACAAACTTGGTAGCCCTTGATTACAGCTGATGTCCTTACGCGAAATTGTGCAAGACATGTTTAAGACAAGCTGCACCAGGAACACCAATTTTATTCAGACGACCACGTGACCGAGACAAACTACCTCCTTGACAAATTTGATTTAACACCAAAAAATACTATAAAAGATATAAAGCCTTTGAATACAATAGTGCATAAAACATGGCCGAGACAAACATAAACTAAAAGACTTGCATGTGGACATTGTCATGTACATTTACTTATATATTCCGTCATTCCACATGTGTATTACAAACTTTAGCTGGAACAAAACAAAATGGGCCTACAACGCTCACCTGGTATTAATTTTTACACTTGTAACATTAAAAGTGGACTTAAACAAGAGGCCCAATAGGCCTGCATCGCTCACCTGTTATTAATCTAACACTTGTAAACTTAAGATTTCATAAGAACCTATTAAAAGTTTTAAACATATGACACCTCTGACCTTGATTGTCGAACAAGGACATTAGGTTGAAAGTTGGTCAAGGTCATTCATTTGAACTAACATGGTAGTACTTCATCCCAGCATGCTACAGGCCTAATTTCAGTACCCTGGCCCTTTTGCTTATTGAGAAGAAGTCGCTTGAAGAATTTACGACATTTGACCCCTATGACCTTGAAAATTGGCCAAGGTCATTCATTTGAACAAACTTGATAGTCCTTCATCCCAGCATGCTACAGGCCCAATATCAGTACCCTTGGCCTTTTGGTCATCGAGAAGAAGTCGTTTGAAGATTTTACGTCATTAGACCCATGTGACCTTGAAAGTTGGTCAAGGTCATTTATTTGAACAAACTTGGTAGCCCTTCATCCCAGGATGCTACAGGGCCAATATCAGTACCCTGGGACATTTGGTTATGGGGAAGAAGTTGTTTGAAGATTTCAAAGACATCTGACCCCAGTGACCTTGAAAGTGGGTCAAGGTCATTTATTTGAACAAACTTGGTAGCCCTTGATCCCAGCATGCTACTGGCCAAATATCATCTTCCTAGGCCTTTTGGTTACTGAAAATAATTTGTTTAAAGTAAAAAGTTGAAGCCGGATGGACGCTGGACGCCGCACCATGGCATAAGCTCACTTGCCCTTCAGGCAGGTGAGCTAATAAAGCTAGACAAAACATCAGTGTATTGACTCAAACTCAATAAAAAAAACGTTTAAAGTTTTTGACCCCGATGACCTACACGGACATTAAGTTGAACAAACTTTATAGCCCTTCCTCCAAGAATACAACTTGCCAAATACATCTATCACCACCCGACACCTTTTGCTTATTGAGAAGATAACTTTTAAAGATTTATACACAATTGACCTCTGAAAGTGTGCCAATGTCATCCACATGGACAATCTTGATAGCTCTTTATCTGAGCATAATACCGGTCACATATCATCATCCTGTGCATCTTGGTTTATTAATTCAGCAAGTCATTTAAAGTTTTGTTTACATTTTTGACCCCTGTGACCTTGAATATAATTCAAGGTCATTCTTTTAAACAAATTTTTCAAACCTTTCATCCCAGCATGCTACTGGCTAAATATCATCATCCTAACCATTTTTTTTACATGTAATTGGAAGAAGTCATTGAAGATTTTGACATATTTGACCCTTGTGACCTTGAATATGGATAAAGGTCATTCATTTGAACAAACCTGGTAGCCATTCATGCCTGAATGTAACTAGCCAAATATCAGCACCCTGGGCCTTTTGGTTATTCAGAAGAAGTTGTTTTAAGGTTTTTAAGACAATTGACCCCCTGGAGTTTGAATATGGGCAAATGTCACTCATTTGAACACACTTGGTAGCCATTCAACCCAGCATGCTTCTGGCCTAACTTCATTACCCTGGATCTTTTGGTTTTTCAGAAGAAGTTGGTAGATTTCAACATATTTGACTCCTGTGACCTTAAATATAAGTCAAGGTCATTCATCCATGCATGCTACTGGCTTAATATTAGAGCTGTCACTATACACTTTACCCACGATTCCATACGTATCTCGATATTTGTACGTTTCGATACACCATTATTTTAAAACATAAACAAAATGAGATATATAAACCGTCGATACACGGAAATCCGCAGTGTTTCCACACTTTTGATTTAAAGCTTGCCGGAGCATCACAAATTTTCATTTCCTTTCAGCGGTCCGCCATTTTGTTATGAATGCTTTGTGAAAATTACATCCTCGCAACCGATTGGTTGAGAGTTTAAAGATCAGCCAATGAAATTGAACGTCTCACAGACGTTTCAGCTGATTGGCAGACACTAATATTCAGATTGTGACATATTGAAAATCCGGAAAAATGTATAGTGAATCGAATCGAACATAAATAATTGCGGTACAAGTGCATCGCGGTGAATCGTTACGCCTCTACTAAATATCAACATTCTTCGTCTTTTGGTTATTCAGAAGAAGTAGTTAAAAGTTTAAAACATATTTGATCCCTGTGACCTTGAATTTATATCAAGGTTATTCATTTAAACAAACTTGGTAGCCCTTCATTCCAGCATGCTACAGCAGGCCAAATATCATCACCCAAGGCCGCTTTGTTATTCAGAAGTTGACCCGGACAGACGGACGCCGGACGGACGACAGGCCAGGTGAGCTAAAGCGCACAGCATTACTAAGTCTGACTAATGAAGATTGTGTGTTGAAAGAAGCAGACATAATATACTTTGTTTGAAATTTATTAATTTAGATCACTAATATATGACTAAACAGTTTTTTGTTTAATAACATTTTAATCAGTCTTTTCAACTCCATTTTTTATGCAAGGGAACAGCTGAATGTCATTCATAAAAATAGTCTGGAAATCTTATACGACATATCATGTATATGACCTTTACACCAATAAACTCCTTGTGTCAATTACTACAGCATTATTTCACCATGTGTGCATTTTGACTTCTATTAGCTTCACCTTCCATCCATGAATTCTTGCTGTAAAATTTCTCTAGAATGTATTTATGAAATATTTACAATCAGACCTTGACTTTTATAATTACCATATTATCAAATAAATTCATTGAGTCAATCCCTGCAATACTGCTTTCCAATGTTACATTTTTACAATGTTATAATGCATTATTTTATAATAATAATAATAATAATAATTCAAGGTTCTTATATACCGCTTTATCACAACCTAGTTTGTAGGTCGTCTCAAAGAGGTTCACAAATTATTATCCGTGGTTGAAGGGCCTTTGCAACTAGCCAATATCTGTCTCAACTCCATTGGGAGCATACAGCCGGTGCTGCCATTTCGGCGCGCACAGCTAGCATTCTACAAATCTAGCACTGCCCAACCACGTACTCATTTACAGCCGAATAGACTGGAACAAGCGGAGTAAAGAATCTTGCTCGAAGATACAACACAGTGTCGTGCGGCACCACTGTGACGCGAACTGCAATCCTTCAGTCACAAGCCCGGGGTCCTACCACTAGACTACCGTGCCTCTTTACTGTTTAGGACAGTTAAATGTATTTTTGATATTTGTCTCAATTTCTCACTTTGGGTTCCGACAACCAGTCCGTGGATCAAGGAACTTTTTAGGAATAAATCTGGACCCCTATCAACCAAAAATGACAAATTAAGATGCAATCTAGTCAGATGTTCTAGAGGAAAATTAGGATTTGTGGAAAGAATAAGTTGACAATAGAACAACATTTCAGTCCCAGTGAGATAATACAAAATTCAGAAAATATTGTCGTTTTCTAAATAGTTTAAACAAACTACCAAAAAATTCACCCTGATAATAAATCAAAAACTATAATATACAACTATATAATGCAAAGGTTCATTGTGAAAATGGGCCCCACTCATCTGCCCCAAAGAAGGGGGCCCACACACCTCAGTTTATACAAAATTTATTATTTTGTCCCTAATCATGCTTCAGACTGCATTTGCCTTAAAACCCTTCACTTGTATAGTAGGAGAAAAACATTCCTCTATTTCCCCTATTGGTCCCCGCCCCTCCGCCCCCAAAGGGGCCACACCCAATGATGCTCCAGTGGATCCCTTCTCACTGTGGAGTTTGGGGTAATGAACAAGCTGATAAATTAGCAAAGCGTGGTGCTGAACAACAACAGGAAGAAAATCCTGTCTGCTACACAGAGATGAAAACTACCATCAAATCTCTGTTCACCACCCCTCAGCAACAAGACAGTTACCACGAGCTAACAAGATCTGACCAAACTACCATCTTCCGACTGAGGACAGGACACAACAGACACAATCAACATCTATACAAAGTCATGAAAGTTGTTCCATCTCCAAGGTGTCCTTGTGGAGAAGCAGAACAGGATACTGCACACCTCTTACAGTCATGCAAGATCCATCTGGCACTGAGAGATAAGATATGGCATTCACCAACACCACTCAAAGATAAGCTATATGGACCAGCGGATGCCCTACAGAAGACCACCTGATTTGTTGAGGAGACTGGTATTCAAGTGTAAAGGAGAACGATAAGAAGAAGATCAACATTCTAGGCCTAATGATTATTCATAATCAGAGGAAGTCATTTAAAGTTTAAAACATAGTTAACATTGACCCCTGTGATCTTGAATATAATTATAAGTGAAGGTCATTCATTTAAACAGAATACTGAATTCAAACTGAAATTTGAGTTATTTTATAACAATTGGTGAAAATGCTGGACTAGTTAACGTTGCACTCGATCGTAAGAAAATTTTAAGGTTCACATGGCCTGGCCATATATAACTTGTGTAAAAGTTAAAGCAAGATTCTGATTTTATATCTCCTCTATATCTCTTGACAGCTCAACCCAACTCTCTTCTCCTCCTTTGACTACCAAGCTGAACTACCTTACTATCTGTCCCTTAGCAAAATAATGCTACAATAAAAATGTTGATACATTAAAATTATTGACGCTACTGAAATCCTGCTAAAAAATTGCCACAAGTGCTGCTGAATTGACTCTGGTGGTCAGCATCAGGGAGACAGTCACACTTATCTACAGATCTTCACCTATGTCATATATAACCACAATTATCTACAGCTACGTATACTTAGTCACCATCTTCAAATAAAACTCTTGACACTGACCACGTTAATAAAATGCAAAGCAAATTAAATGTACACTTTAATTTGAACAATTAAACAGCTAATAAATGCATTATAGTGACTGGTAAAAACCAATAAAATGTATTAGGGTCGGCAAGAAAAAATAGGGTCGGTCGGGAAACGGTTAACAGCTATATTTTTATTTGGCCTTATATGCTCAGTAACGATATAAGCACCCCTAGAATATGTCATAGCATAATTAAAGGCAGGTGGCTACATGTAGCTTTTTGATTGGTCTTAGTTACAGGTAAACAAAAATTGACTATTTTTAGCCTGATACCTGTTCTTCGAAGATTGTAGAGCATTGATACTTGTGATCAGACTTAAAAGTCGGTCAATTTTACTGTTACATGACTGTAGATTCTTTTGATGTACACCAAAGGATCAAATTTTCAAAACTAGTCCACTTGTCTCATCTACATGCTGGTGTTCACTGAGCCTTCAATTTTCCTATTACATATTCCAAGTGTGCAGAGAGCAAAAGTGAATGTAACCCCTGGAGTATCGAGGATGAGCTGAAATCTATTTAATGGATTTGGTGATCAAATGAAACTGAATTTCTGAATTTGGCACGAAAATGTATCTGGTAGGGACTAGGGAGGATTTCTTTTTCCAGGAAGGTAACTGTATACAGGAAAAATCACATGTATAAATCTTTTGGCCTTTTTTTTTTGATGTTCTCTCCTCTTTTTCCACTGTATATTCCACAAAGGTATCCTCTCATATGAACATCAGCATAATCCCATGTCAACATATTTTCTTCTGATAATTTGGTTTCTTCATTAAGTACTTACATTTTCTAACTTCCTCCTTAATGTGTAATCTAGCAGCATTAACTACTTGTGGATGAGACCCAAAGATAAGTATAAGGCCAGTTCTGTTCCATTTTATATCAAAATTGATTTTAGCCTTCATTTTGATTCTTTCAATTTTCTCCGAGTGATTTACAAGGAGCATCGAACAAATCCTCTCATGAATATAAGGATCGTCATCTGTCAACACCTCTCCTTGGTATGGTCGGATTTTGAACCTCTTTATTTTACTGATTTCCTGGGTGATTATCTGTACAGCACTCTTCATTGTTTCAGCATCAGATGCACAGACAAGTAAATGACGACGACTTCTTGTGACAGAAAGTTTACAATTGAGTTTAGTCTCAAACACCAATTTCCTTTCGTCCTGTTCAATGAGAAACCAACAAATCTGGTCAGAAATATGAGCATTAATATCTAAAAGCACCTTTTGCATGAATGGTAGGCATACCTCATTTTTAACTCTTTCCATTTCTTCTGTTACTTTTTGTGCAGCTTTCCTCACCACTTCTGCATCAAACCCTTTGACAAGGATATAGCCAGTCATACCGCTATTATACCTGTAAGTAATAGTCCTTTCATCTATTTCGAAATCGAGCCCGGTTTTCAATATAAATTTTCTCATGGTCTCTTCTCCTTCTTTCAGGAAATGGTGAGAAATGTAATGATGCATATCAATATCATCATGCGTCCACACCTTTTCTTCGATGGGGAAATGGGTCAAAGCATGCTTTATTCCTTTAACTTTCAGGTGTAAGAATGCTGCAGCTTTCTGCACCACTTTAGCATCAGAACCTGTAACAAACAAATAACCCTGTTTCGAAGATTGTAATTTCAAATCAGGTCCATTCTCAAACTCAAATCTTCTTATCTCTTCCAATCCCTTTGTAAAAAGATGTTCACAAATATTTTCATGAACATCATAGTCTTGATCTGTGCTCACCCTTTTTATGAAGGGATACTGGCTGAGCTCATTTCTTATTGTTTGGACTTCTATAGACACTCTTTTTGCAGCAATGTTCACGACTTCAGTGTCAAACCCAGACACCAATATGCAATCAGGTTTTTTGGTGAATAATCTAAAGTCAAGTCCAGTCTCCGACATCAATTCTTTCACCCTTTGATATCCATCTTTCGCGAAAATACTGCAAATCATGTAATGAATATCAGGATCTTCATCAGTTGACACCATTTTTCTAACAGGTAGAGCTATACCATGTTTAATTCTTTGAATTTCCAGGATTACTTTTTGAACAGCTTCTTTCATCACTTCATCATCCACTACAGAAACAATTAGATGGCCTCTTTCCTTTTGATCTATTGCAAAATTCGGCACTGTCTTATAACGTTTTTTAATTTGATAACAAATAGAATGATGCACATCAATATCGTCATCTGTCGACACTGTGTAGTCGAACTGGTCCACCTTTTTAAGCTTGTATCTTTGAACTAGTACGGTCACTATTTCTTCAACAGTCTTTACCGCTTCAATATCATTCCCATAGATAGCAATGTGGTCATCCTTTGGAACGACTTTACAACGTAAATACGGCAATAACAGTCTATCAATATTCCATCCTCCTTTGCCGATGATACTTCCAGAAATCATGTCATGTAATGCTGTATCTTTCGAGGTTGGCACCTTCACATTGAAGTGTGTATTGCTGGCTATTTGAGAACTACATGGCCGCGATAATCTGTGTGACAAAGTTATGTCTGGGCATAAATGTTTTGCATTTCTTGAAACATTGATGCTTGCAAACATATGTCGGGAAATATCCAATCGGTACCTAAACGCCCGTACAAATGCTGCCATTCTGTTTTTGTGCACAGGCCTCTCGTTCAATCAGACTCTTGTTGCCTGCTCTTGAATTATCAGTGATGAAGCGTCTGGTTGAACGAGACTAGAGCTCGATACAACTAATCACAGCCCGGCAGAGCCCGGGGAAAGCCCGGTATTGATATATTGACCCCCATGGCGTTTGTCTCCACTCATACACCATTACAACTGTATATTTTGCATTGTTTGTAACAACATGAATGTAATGATCAAGAAGTGGTGAACAATCTTTCAATTTGAGCGAACTAAGTTATGAATTTTCATTTCAGTAATAATTACCATAACTTATTTATGCATATCTTTCCACAATTCCCATTCATTTTTAACATAAGAGAAAGATAACACAAAACCTCACTTGGGAGGCCCCTCTGTCCTGCCCACGTACATACGCATGCCGTATACTTAGTCGTTCCGGCTTCATATATTACATATATGATTCATGTTTATTTGGAATTAAATTTTAAGTTAAATTTATTTATATAATGGATAATTCATGTTACTTTTTAAAAATAAATAATATTAAAAACTGTACATTTGTTGTTTTTTCATTTTACATGTTGTCTAAAACAAAATACACATGTAGCAGAGTCATATTTTATTGTATTTTATATTAATTTAATACTCTGTCTTATATTCTATGTTGTGCCCAATATGTTATTTATATGTGTTGATATTATGACGTACATGTCCTGTGGTGTGATCCTTACCTGTGATGTCTACCTGTCTTTACCTGTATAGTATCCCATGGAGTGGTTATGTAAGGTCCAGTATGTTATTGTTTATAGACTATTTTCATTGGTCAGATATTTTGTATAGATTTCTGTTTCTATTGGTCAGTCTTATATTGGTCACTTTTGGCGGGATTTCATTGTGTCAGATTGTGTGAAAGATTTTGTAAGAGAGCAGACATGTTGATTTGGACACCGACACATACATCTTTTGACAGTAAGTTTTCTCTATTATCTAATATTAATAATTTCTTCACAGTTAAAGTTAATTTGGCTAGGGTTCTAGTTAATTTAAATATATTGGTAGTTTCTAAATAATTGTTAAATGGAATTTATTTATAATTATGTGAGGTTTAAAGAATTGACCAAGTAATATGTATTTCTTATATTTAGTGTATTTCATGTTTGAATCCTCATGACTATTATTACACTAGGAAGAACAATAATGTTTACTAAAGTATATATATCTGTATATTGACATTTACCATTTTTAAGAGAATGGTTTTATTTTATTTATAGATCGAATAATTCAGTACTAAGTGATTCGCTCGTTTGATGGCATCGGTTTCCTAATTCCTGGCTCTGTGCCATACACAGGTGCGTGATATGTACATTTTAAGTAATTTATATTTCCATGAAAGTTATATTCTAACTTTAGTTGTTAAAGTTAGGTTTATCCTTTTCTTTCTTATTTCTTTTGGATTAATTGGTCATTAGATTACTATGTAACTATTTGTAATGATATATAATTGAGAAACAATAATTGTAAAATTATTGTAAAGTAATTGCCATGTATGCTGTGTAATTGTAACGGTATGAATTAGTAGGCAGTACAGTAATTAGTTTGTAAGAGTTATGTCCCTTTAGTATATGTATTGTACTTGTGATTCGTTGTGCTAAATGCAGTCTTTTGTGTTTGTTTACAGAGTGTATGTATCTACCTATACACTAGGATATTGAAC